GACTCAAAACTCACCGCTTCCTCCCTCGAAGTCTCTGGGGTAGCACCGCTTCTGGTCCCGCCATCATGAGCCAATGCTAGAGGGTCGGAGAGAGCTGCGTCCGCCCCCTTGCGCTTCGCCTTCTTCGCCGCAGCAGATGAAGCAGCAGCAGCAGCAGCAGGCTGTCGTTTCCCGCGTTTCGATGCTCTCTCTCGGATGCCTTCAACGTGCTCTCTACCCTTTTCGAGGAGCTCAACTTCATCAGCAACCACAGATTGCACAGGTTTTCCAGCTGCCTCGGTGGTACCCTTTCTCAACAGCTGGCTGATTAGCAGTATCCCGCGGATGTGGTTCTTCCGCTGCTGTCTCACTACCCTCTCTTCCCCTCGGATTTCGATTGTGCGGTCTACCTCCATGAGGCTGCCACGAGCCACGGCCAGGCCCAAGTCGGGACGGCCGTCCTAGAACGAGATTAGGTCTGATGACCTCGAGAGTGGTCTCCTCTGTATGTAATTCGACCAAGCGGAGTCGATTGCCGTGGAGAACAAGGCTTGCGTCGGCGATGTTTGCGGTGAAACAGGATGCGCCGCATCGTTTATCTTGAAAAATGTGGGGGAGATTTTTTTTTTTTTCGTGTTTTTTTTGTCGTCGGTTGGTCTCGCCGAAACGTTTCTAGAACCGGTCTCCATTTTTCATACCGACGAAAACTCGTTCTAGGACGCAATTCTCCGGCATATACCGGAAGGCGCCAGAGGCATGTTGCCAGGCCTGCGCTGAGATGCTCAATACGTCGTGTTCTACTGCAGCAACAGCAGAGGAATGCTGCCATGCCTGTGCTGAGATGCAGAAATCCTAGTGCATCTTAGCACAGGTCTGGCAGCATTCCTCTGATGTTGCTGCAGAAGAGCACGGCGTTCTGTGCATCTCTGCACAGGCCTGGCAGCATGCCTCCGCTATTGCTGCAGTAGAGCACGACCATGGCGCTGGTGCCGTCGATGCTGATCTTCATTTTGTCGACGATATCCTGCCAGAACGACTGCGTGGGCACGTGCAAGTGCGTGCATGCAAGCGGGAGAAATGCATTTTGGGACCGGGCAATGCTTCTGTTGTTCGCGACCACATGCTCGCTGCCTAGGCAAGCGCGGCATCCTTCCCATGGCATGTATCAAAGTACACAAACGTGAGCCGCATCCATGCCCCCATTTAGAGAAGGTGCACTTGCTAGTGGTGAACATCTGCTCTTGAAAATATTTAAGATCCTATGCGGTGTTGGACATTCAACTTGAAATGGGACTGCAGCCGTTGTATTCCTCTCTGGCCATGTCGCGCGCGCGCAATGGAGTGCACCCAAAGAACAAGACTTGAACAACAACATAACAGAAACCAATAAACCCAACTCCATCAAGGCGGAAAAGGATGAAGGCTTGATCATCAACGTGTTTATCTCATCGTGGCCGTGGTGGTGGGTGCGTCAGCTGATACCACAGGCGAACCGCACTACAAGGAAAGATCGCGACATGTTCTTTTTTTCCCACCCCTCGATCTTACGGCTGTACAGCCGTAGACAATTTAGTCTACACCGAACGTTTTAACCTGTCCAGATCTTTGCTTTCCCGCGAGCTCCAAAACTCAGAGAGATGACAAGATCTGCTAAGATACGCAAGAAAAGAAGGTGACGACCTCGCCAAAAAAAAAAACACGTGCACGAGTAATGCCCGTACCTCAGATTCAAGCGGCACCGGCTCCGGGGGGGCGGCGGCGGAGGCGTCGCGGTCGGGTTGAAAGGCGCTTCGTACTCCATCAAAGACAGACGAGCACCATAACTGAATCGTCCCAGCAGCAGCATCAAGCCAGCCCTCAACAGTGCTCGTATCTCACCAGGCGTCCTCAGGGTTCGAGGTGGAGGTCAAGTCCCATGCGTTCGGATCGGTCTCTGCGGCGGATAAGCTAGCGGCGGCTGGTGTTCACTCGGCATCTTGCGTTGCGCACCCGACAATTGAGGCCCATGTAGATGCCTCGTACGACCACCCCGAACCCGTCGCTGACGAGCGCTCCCGGCGACGTGTCTTTTTCCTGCTCACGGAAAAATTCTCCCAGAGCAGCGCAACCCGCAATCCTTTCCACATGTTGACTGCTTCGTGGGCATCTGGGTGGCGCACCCTCTTGGCAGGAGAAGTTGTGGCAGATGGTAGCGTGGTAACATCATGTTCGAGCTGCACGCCCCTCGAAAGATTCGGCAGTACCCCCCCCTCCCGGTGTTTGCCATCGGGGTTGGGTTTTCGTCGCTTGG